AAAAACACGTTTATTGCATCCTTTGCCCTAATTCAGAAACCAGTCACAAGGTAACTGGACAGTCCATACTTTGAGATACTGTACAATGCAATTAAAAATGCCATTGCCATCAACAGTCATTGACATTCCACCAGAGTCAATCATTTTTCTTCTTGACCAGCACTAAGGTGTTATTCTCAAAATAAACAAGAGATGGCAGCACAGAACCGAGCTTGGAGGGTTTTTTGTTTTGGGTTTTTGCTTTGTTTTTTGTTGTTGTTGTTTGTTTGCTTATTTGTTTACATTGACTATTCTACTGTGGAGCAAGTTTCAAAAAAATATATCAAAGGATTGAAATTATATAAAGTATGTTTCTTGCTCTCATTGCAGCTTATCTAGCAATCAGTAATAAAAGATAACTAGAAGGTCCTTATGTTGAAAGATGATAAAACACAATTCTAAGTAACCCACAAATTAAACTACAATTAATTTAAACTGAATGATAATAAAAATTGTACATAAAATACACTGGGAAAAGGTATTAATAAATCCACACATTAGGGAGAAAGCCTGAAAATTCACAAATTTTGTATCATATTACAAACCTGGAATAATAAATTAAATCCAGAGAAAGTGGAAGAATGGAAATATGCAACTAGTGATGTCTGGAAGGGTATATACCTTTTTTATTAAATGATTTTTATTGTTATTCTATTACAGTTTTCTAAAATTTTCCCTTTGCCCTCCTCCATCCATCCCATCTCACACACCCCCACCTTGTTTAGAAGCATATACACTTAATATAATAGCAGCTATTACCTATTTGGGTAGAATTTTCAATTATATTTATTTTTCTATATAATTTAACTAAGCAGCAACAACAAAACAAAGGCCGTCTCGGTTTGGGCTTAAAAAGTATGATGGGAAAACATGGCATAATTTAAAAATAATAACAGTCTAGTCTTTTTTTTTAAGATTTTATTTGTTTATCTTTAGAGGGGAAGGGAAGGAGAGAGGGAGAGAAATATCAATTTGTTCTCTCGTCCAGCTGGGAAATGTGGTGAGTACACGCAGGCTAATGGTCTGATCTTTGTGTTGACAACACCAGAGGCCTTTTTTTGCTCACCCAGCCTTTTCCAATTTTCACTTCTTTATATGCAAATACAGCCCAGCAAAGAGGAAATGAAGGTCTAGACCAGAAGTCATGTAGATGAGCAGAGAAACCCTGAACAGCACAGCAGCAGAGGGAGTTTATTTTGCCCCAGGGCTGCCCCACTTCAGGGCCTCCTCACAGCCCTGATGCTACATAACTAAGAATCAGCATTACTGAGTTGATACACAGTGTGCTGCTTCATAATTCACCTGTAACAATACTGAGCTTCTTAACAACTCTTCTGTACTCATGGTTATTCTGTATTAAAATTCAGGTATTTGCACTAAAGTTTCCTTCTTCACCACGCCCCAACTTTGGGACTCCTCTTGGCATTAATTTGGAGCTAATGACTATAAATTTATAGACATGCACATGGACCTCACACACAAACCCAGAGACCCCAAAGCCACACCTAAAGAGACCCCAGATCTGAGACCCACTGCCAAATAGATTCAAACCAAGGCCACAGACCTCAGAGACAGGACCCAGATCTGTAACCAAGACTCCACAGCCAGACTCCAGAGTGGAAGCTGGACAATGAACCCTAGTTGCCAGATGCCAGACACAAAAATTGAACCACACTAGTCAGAGCTTATAATATTCTTAATAGCATTTCTATAAATGACTTTGGATCCAATACTTAAATATAAAATTGATTATTTTCATAATAGATGGCTTTCATCTCTAAAACCAACAGTAACTGTGTGACACAGTATATTTTGCACTGTGGAAATGATTTGGGAACCACCCTGCCTGGTTTCAGAAGCTGTAAACCCTCTAAGGCTAAGGCTGAGTGAGCAACCTTCAGAACAGAAGCTACTAAGGAGACAAACCTTATCTCCCTGGCAAGGGTGCTGCTTCTGCTCCTTTTACTTTATCCTGCCCGGCCCCAATGCTTGATTCATTAGCCAATGACGGATAAGATTTCCCAAAGTGGGGAATGACCGAAGACAGGCATGATCACAGGGAGGCCTCAGGGAAGGACTTGGGGGGCTATAGCAAAAGGGGGTGATGAACCCTCGCCCCTCAACTTTGACATAGCCTGAGTCATTATGTCTGCAATAAGTCTCTTAATCTCTTGGCTGCCTTACTTTCCCTGCCTGACTTAAGCCTGAAACAACGACTGAGGGCAGTGTAGCCTTGTGCTGGAAAGGGCTGGTTCCCCAGGTGATCAGGCCTAAGAAAGAATGCATAAAATCCTGTGAAACCTGCTTTGCTAAGAATGCTCTCGGTTTTCTGATAAGGGTCCGAGCAGGAAATGAGTTTGTTCCCCAAACTTTTGTAGCCCTTTAGCTAACAGACCCTGAGTCAGAATAAGCCCTAGTAGTTCTTTGTATGCTATCTACTGTTTGATCCTTACTGCCTGACAATGATTAAGGATCTTTACCTGTATTCCTGTGCAAAATGAACTCAATAAAAGTCCATTCAGGGAAAGGTTCCAGGTCCTTCTCCTTTGAGAGATTGGCCACCTTTCCTCCCCAAGCAGATCATGTATTGGTAGACTTATTCTCATCCACAGCAGACGGGAGGTCTCTGTGGGCAAAGGTCCCCCACAAAAATGTTCCTGCTGGAATAGAGTTTTGGATGCAAATGGGACAGTTTGTGTGGCCAAGGTTCTATTCACATAAGAAAGGCACCATGGGCCGCTGGATGGAATGAAGATGTGCAGAATTTTTGTTGAGTCATTTTTAAATGCATACATATATAAACAGATACTTCTCATCCATTCTTTTATCTACAAAAATATTTATAGATAGGTTTCTTTTAAGTAAAGGAGAAAGCAAATGACACAACATTCCAAATGACATGAAGGAAAAGTAAGTTTTCCTCTGCAGGTTGTACAGACCCTAATCCCTGTGACCAGTCCCTGTGTCTACTTTCAACACATGTCTTCTGCCTGTTTTTATTTTTTTAACACAATTTGTTTTGCAGGGTACTTTTTTCACATGGTAACATTATGTCAAAATTATTCTGTTATAATCCATTACAACCACCTTACTAGGTTTTATTTCTTTAATGAAATACTATATATTCTCACCCATTTTAACATTTTATAATATTTGACAGTGTGAGAAAACATAATCTAACAAATTCTCTTCTACTGAAAACTTTAAAATTATGTTATTATATGTGTTGGATACAATATTTTAAACATACATCATTTCATACACAGGGAAGCATAACTGGGGGAATTTTTAGTGTTTTTCTTTTCATTTCATTTATTATTTTGAAAGTGAGAGACAGAGTTGCTCCACTTATGTATTCACTTATTGGTTGCTTCTCATATGCGCCTTGACTGGAGAATGAACTGACCACCTTGGAATATAGGCAGGACACCCCAACCAACTGAGATACCAGGCCAGGGCTACTAGGGGAAATTTTTTAAAAGTGGAATTTCTGGATCAGAGGATATGAGGATATTATTTCTGAATGGCTATTCTCAAAATAATCACTGGGAAGTCTGCATCAAAGGACCCTTCCTGGAGTCTTTCAGAGCAAGGACAGTGCACCTGCTTGCTCATCAGCCTCAGAGATGTCAGGATCCCCATATGGGCCACCACATTATGTTGACCTTAAAAACACAGCAGTCAGTTACTCTACCAGCAGATAAGGGTTTATTCAGAAACAGTAAAAAAACTGCAGTTTAGGACAAGCAAGGGGTAGAAAAAGTCATTGGCAAGATCCATAAGTAAAAGAGAGGAACATTATGTTACATAGAGAAAGGAGGAAGATGGGAGAGATCATTTCAACAGAAAGTGCACGGGAAGAAACCATCAGGGAGACGATGGTTTCTATCTGGCTGAGTTGCTGGGGAGTCGGTTTCTCCTGGGAGCACAGTACCATCTATGTTGGGGCCTGTGACAATTTTTCCTGTAATTGACCCTAGGTGATTTTATGTGACAGCAACCCCACTGACCCTCAACTCCACTTTAGTGAGGTTTCCCTTTATGCAATTTCATAGTAATAATTAATTGGCTTCACGGAAATCAGGTTATTTATAAGTGCTCAAAACGAGCTAAGGACCGGAAACACTCTTCCCACTTTACCTCGTGAAAGCCAGCAGCAGCTAAACTGACCCTGCTCAGTGGACCCCAGTCCTCAAATTTGATGTTATTTTTATGCAAAATACTTGTAGGTTTTTCCAGTATTTCTAAATTTATTTAGTTTTGCTTGGTTTTATCTCGTCTTCCTATTTCTGAAATGTTTTCACACCTGAGTTACTTAAACACACCTACTGTTCATAACGCCAGTTCTTTGAGATGTGAAATTCTCCCAGTGTGTTTCCACAGTGCACTTATGTCATTTGTTGTGTTTAAATATTTGAGCTCTATGGAACTTATTTTGTGTCCATGAATTGCGTGGTCGGAATTTACTGACTTAAGTTTCCACGGAATGCAATGCAGTCTTGACCGCATCCTCACTGCTCACGCAGCTCTCGCTGAAAGTGGGTTTGAAAAGTGAGGGGGGGGGGGGCGGACGGGCCGAGATGTAACCTGGGGATCCCGACCACAGTCTGGTGGAACAAAGACTTTGTCAGGAGACAGGAGGCCCTCGTCCACCCTATGATCCGGCCCGGCTCGGAGTACCCACCTCCTGAGGGAAAGACTCCTCACCAGCTTCGGGACAAGAGCCTTGGAGCTGCTCAGCGTGACCTGCGCTCCGGAGACCCCTGAGTAGCCAATCCCCGCGGGGAGGGGCGGGCCTTCCGCTGGCCAGTCCGGAACCCAGGGGGCTCTGCCCCTCTGCCCCGCCCTTTCAGCTTCTTCCGACCGCCCATTGGCGGGCAGGGTCAAGGGATCTCAGTACTGATTGGCCGCTATCCAGGATAGAGCCTCCCCCCTGCAGGGGAAGCAACTGAGCTCCGAGAGGAGCTCCGCGGTACCGTAGGGTCCCCGGGAGATTGACGGGTAAGCGGAGAGCCCTGTCACGTGGAACTCTTAGCCCGAGACCTCCAAAGTCCAGCTGAGAGACCCCAGATGCCCTCATCCTGAGGGGCCCTAAACCCCGTCAGCATCGAGGGGCCCGCGTGCGCCAACCCGGAGGACCCACATCTCCTGACCCCCAACGCTTAGCCCCCAAACAGCCCGAAAACCCCAGTTCCCCTCGGCTCGGGGCACCCAACCTGCAGCTCGCCCGGAAAGACCGAATCTCCCCAAACTCAGAGACGCTAAATGCTGTCGTCCTGGAAACTAACTCGGTAGTGGGGACCCTGAAGCCCCTCGATGAGACGCCCCAAATCTCAGCCACAGAGGTATCGACCCTCCCCCCAGGGCTCAGTGTCCTCAGCCCGGAAGACGCCCCAGGCCGTCCAGCCCCTCCTCCCGAGTCCCCTCTCCAGGCGCCCCGCCAACCGGGAGAAAGGCGTTCCGTCCTCTCAGCGCCTTCTCCTTCCGCAGGCGCCTCGGGCTCGGGGCTGGGACGCCATGAACCCCGACGGGGGCCCGCAGCACAGCCCCGAGGGAGAAGCGGGGCGGGCGGGGCGGACGGGGCAGATGCCGCAGGTGAGCTGAGGGGCCGGCGGGGAGCGTGGGGACAGGGCTGGGAACAGAGCTCCGCAGACGCCCGGCCCTCGGGGTGACCCTGGCTGTGCGGGTGCAGAGCGCTGGTGGGAGAGACGGGACTCCGAGGGGCAGGGCCGGTGGGAGAAGGCCCAGAGTGCGAGCAGGCCCCCGGGACGCACGCGGAGGAACAGCTGCTGGGGGGGGGGGGAGGGACACGACTCAGACGGGCTCAGTGCTTGTGGCACAGGGACCACCGAGGCCCGCCTGCTCCCTGCACCCCGGGGGCCCCCCCGCGCGCCTTCTCACTCGCATCACCGAGTTAGTGATGTTTCCACTCTCCTCTCCAGGCTGAAGAGGCTTTGGAAGACGCTTCCCTCTGCTTCTCCGCGGAGGAGTGGGCAGAGATGGGAGACCCGGACAAAGGCCGGTACCAGAACCTGGGGAGGAACTTCCACGCGCTCACCAGCCTAGGTAGCTAGTGCGCAGGCGCTGGGCAGGAGGAGTCCAGTGACTCGGACTAAGGCAGCTCCACTGGTCTTCGGCTCCCTCCTGCATGGACACCAGTGGGGGGAATTTGCTCCTTCGTGTCAGAGCAGGGCTGGCGCTGACCGTATGGCGGTCACAGCAACTCCTTGTAGATTCTCCCATCCCATCGTAGCCGGTCACACGGGCTTCCTGGAGCTTGTTCCTCCAAGCTCTGTGCTTTCAGGACAAAGGTTTTGTCTCTCTCCAGGTCTCAGGGCCCCTCGACCAGCTTCCATGTGTCACCGCAGTCAGACCACCGAGCTCCAGGAGGAGGACCCTGAGGACTCGGATGAAGAATGGAATCCAAGGCAGCAAGGTGAGGGGCAGGAGGAACCAGAGGTGCCCTCCTGACACAGACCTGGTTTAGCTCAGTCTGCATCTCAGGAGTTAACCAGGGGACAGGGTTTGTTTGTCCAGCGAACACACAGGGTGCAGAGCAGTGTGTGGTACAGTGAGGGGCTATTCCTATAAACTTTAAACTGTGCAACATAATCATATATATTTATAGGTTCATTAATAACCAGTAATCGTATAAGAACAAAGAAGTGAATAAGAAATAACTAATTCAGAATAGTCATCCCAAGAGAGGCAGGTAAGTCTGGACAGTGAGGAGTAGCCCTACACCTGGCTACCCAATGGCCTGCATGGAGACAGACCGGAAGTGGTGTTAACCATGGCAATTACGGGAGCTTCCGGGAGGGCCAGGGTCAGGAGTGCTTTATCACTGTATCATTTCCTGATGTCGGCCAGGGTGCCATTCTGTCCAGTATTAGGAGTGTTCAGTGGGTGGAGTCAGTCCACTTTCATGGGTCTGGGGTTGAAACACAGCTGAAGCCAAGATGTGATCTTCAACTTGACTGGAATTCTGTTTCTGTGGTCAGCAGACTGTGGATGCCGACCAGAGTCTAATGATTAAGGAAGGGCGTGGATGGCCAGTATGTGCACAGGGGGGAGGATACCACAGAAAGGAGGCGAGGGGTCGGTAGGGCCGTTAGCCTGGACAAGGCCAGTTTGAATGAAGACAACAGAGCAGAGAAAGGGTTATGTTGAAGATATGGAGTTTCTGTGCAGTTACTTTTATTACATTTTTGTCAGGAGGGGCAAATTTATTTTTTAATAAGTGATAATAGATGCTTTATAAACATAGGATGAAGCATAGATGACACTTGTCTATTTTTTTATCATTCTAATGAAATTAGTGGATGGCCCCAATAGAAGCCTAGGCCTTAATGATACCTCAGAAAGCATTTTCCAATCGTCCCGGTATTGTTCTTGCACTACTCATTCAGAATTCTGTGTCCCTAATAAGAATCTCCAGATTTTGGAAATATTTAGCAACTAAAACACTGATTTCTCTTCATCTTTCAGTGAAACCTTCTTGGGTGGCCTTCAGAAGGGAACAGAGTAAACATCAGAAGGTGAGTATTTCCCAAATCCTGTTGACAAGAAAATTTTCCCCATGGATAGAAATGCAGGTAAGAGTAGGGAAATGCAAAAAGTATCCTAGGAACTGCTGCCTTCCTTTCCTGGTCTCTTCAACACATTGTCCGATATTACCATCTTTTTAAAAGATTTTATGTATTGAGGATTTAGAAAGAGGGGAAAGGAGGGAGAAATTGAGGAGAGGAGCATGTGCAAGACATACCTGTATGGGTTGCCACTCACCACCCCCAAGTAGGGAACCTGAACTGCAACCCAGGCGTGCGCCCTGACCGGGAATGGAACTGGTGACCTTTCAGTCTGCAGGCCAGCACTCAATCCACTGAGTCACACCAGCCAGAGCTCATCATCATCTTAATAGTTAACAACTACAACAACAATAGTAACTACCATTTGTTTCATTCTCACAATGTGTCAGACTTTAAGAATTCTATGTGAATAAACTCACTCAAACATTACAACAACCCGATGAGGTACATACTATATAACTGTCACCATATATGATGAGGAAAGTGATCTTTCAGAGATACAGAAATGTTTGACTGTATGTCTAAGACCACAGTATCAGAAGTAGTGCAATCTGATCCATATTTGCTTCTCTAAAACACTTACAAACTCATTAGAACTTTCAGAGTTTTGCCCTCACCACTGTGACCAGTTGGTTGTCATGCTGCAAAGCGAATGATCGTCAGTTTGATTCCGGGTCAGGGCATATGCCTGGGTTGTGGGTCAGTTTCCAGGTTGGGGTGTGTGTGAAAGACAAGTAAATGATCAATGTTTCTCTCTCTCTTTCTGCCTCCCTTCCCCTCTCTCAAGAAAATGAACAAAATCTTTTTTAAAAATTAGAAAAATAAACTTTTATAGTTTCTAAATTTTACATTGGCTTATTCATATGTCATTACATCATTCATGTGACTGGTGGTTTCAACCAAAGTTCTCTGCTATGTTGAAGTGAGATGAGAGATGCACTGTACGATGTGTAGGCAGCTGGTCCAGTGGATGGTCCCAGATGAAGAAGAATGTGAAATGTCCAGGATCACAGCCTCCCACTCTAATCAAAAAAGGCATCCCCCTCCCCTGATGAGCTTCAGGTCTGATGACCGAGAAACAGCAAATAATAAAATGACTTAAGGACTTCATATAGGTTGCACACCCTTCTATCTGGAACTGATTTCAAATGCCCTTTCCTATAGGGTGAAGTAACAGCTTCTTTGTCTGAGTTCCAATGAGGCCACTCTCATCCTATTTAGAATCATTTGTTCAACCAGCCTCCCTCTGTTGTGAGCTCTTTGGGAGGCTGGTCCATACCTGAGACTTCTCAGAGGTCACGGGCCCAGGTCAGGGCCCCTGAGGGCCCCTAAATGTTTGCTGAATGATTTCACAATTACAAATTAAATTAGAAAATGATCAATGAATGCTGAAGGCAATTTCTGTGATATGTGAAATATGGAGAGAGCTGAGGGGTAAATTGATAGCAGGACTATAATTTCACATTCATACTGTATTACACAATTCACAGAACACTTTGGTGAGCATGTTCACCAAAATTGCATGTTCACTGTAACATTGAAAACTAGCATGTTAGAGGTCATGAAACTAAAGACAACTAGCTACCGATACAGCCTTATTCAAAGAGAATTGGGAACCAACTAAGTCCAGACGTTCTTTCTAAGGTATTGCAGATTTTCTCACCGTTTTATTTATTGTCTAGATATGTTTCTACCAACCATTTCTTTATTCTCTAACCAATATCCTTCACTCTCAATACTATACAGACAGTTGAAAGAAAAGAGCCATCAGGCATGAGTTCTAATCTTGGATTCATTGCCCACATTGGCCCTATCCCCTCTAATATTCATACTCCCTAGGTATTTCCAGGGGTTGGAGTATTAAGGACACGCATGTAAAATGTACTATAAGCCTTAAAAAATTAAATAAATGTTATCTTTTAATATGTGATTCTTATATTGAAGGCAACATCCAAGGTGCCATTAAGCAATGAATATAGTTTGAAGGAATTGTCAGGAACAGCAACTTTGATGACTGCAAGTGACTCAGAGGAGGCCCAGAAACCAGTGTCCCCTCCTGGAGAAGCATGTGCCTTTGGAAAGCACACTAGACGAAAATCAGGTAAGAAAAAATAATTTGGAAACTTTAGTTTCTCTAAGTCCTATAAAAGGGCTGATAAGTTGCCCTAGGTATGTGGGGAGGACTTTGGACGGGCCTGGATTTAAGCTGGGCTAAGCTGAGACTAAAGTTACCACTAGACCTTCGGGCAAATGCTATAAATTTTATGAGCTCCTGAATGCTAATGTATTAAGTGAAGATAAGGATACTTTGCTCATATGTTGTTTGAAAACATTAAATTGACTTTAAAACAGGTGACACATGCAAAGTTGTCCAGTAAATCCATCTGTGATAATAGCAACCACACTTTATTGGTGTTGTGTACCCAGGCCTTTACCCAATGCCTAACACAATGTGCACTCAATAAATATTTTATCAGTGATTAAAGGTTGGCAAGTTAAACATGGTAATGAGAAGATCCAGACACTAAAAATGAATCAGTCATCTGTAGTTAGTGTGGAGTCTTCATCTTCTGAACCAGTAGTTAACAGAGTGAAATACCAGAGTATGCAAAATGACAGGTGATCATTTGGTGAGAGGAGATTGTGTGTTATATGATAAAATGGTAACTAACACTCCAGACCCCACCAACCTCGCTCACCTGGCCTTTTCCAACTCAGAACTCAAGAGAAAGGAGATGGACGAGAAGATGTACAGCCTACAAGAAAGAAAGGACTGTGTGTACCAAGAGGTCACTGAGCCCCGGGATGATGACTACCTTTGTAAGTGACCCTCACCAAGAAGTATGTTATGATACAATAATTTCATCTGGTCCTTTGGTCCCCAAAGCATTCCCCTCCTGTAGTGACCTGGAGTACAGGACTGAGTCTCACTGATGTCAGTGCTGGACTCCCTCTGAAGCTCTTTGTGTCCAGGAACATGTGCTATACCTTCCCTAACACCTGTCATTCTCCCCTCCAGATTGTGAGAAGTGTCAGAACTTCTTCATCGACAGCTGTGCTATGCACGGGCCCCCTGCATTTGTAAAGGACAGTGCAGTGGACAAGGGGCATCCCCACCGCTCAGCCCTCACCCTGCCCCCTGGGCTGAGAATTGGGCCATCGGGCATCCCTGAGGCTGGGCTTGGAGTGTGGAATGAGGCAGCTGATTTGCCAGTGGGTCTGCACTTTGGCCCTTATGCAGGACACATCACAGAAGATGAAGAGGCAGCCAAGAGCAGATACTCCTGGCTGGTGAGAACTATTTACCTCTTCCACTGTCCTCTGGCTTCCCACATTCCTTCTGAGGCTTGGAGGGACCTCTCCTCTTATGTGCTAGACATGGAGGGGACGATGTGGTTAGTTCTATGTACTGACTGGACTTCACATGGACACAGAGCTCCTGTTTAAGAACCAGAAGGTAAGTGGGAGTAAAGTGGTGCAGACACAAAGGAGTGGCTCCTCCCTTGTGGGGCTCCTGCTGTGATTGGACAGGTAGACTCGGGTGTGTAGGTGATGAGTAAGAAAAATATGTGGTCGTAGCTGGCCATTGAATCCCAATGCAGGCCAGGAGAGCTTTGGTGACAGTGGAGTAAAATAATTCTTCTATTACCTCCCCACAAAAAAAAAAGTAAAAGGTCTTTAACTTCTCTTCTGAAACACAGATCGCCAGAGGGAGAAACTGCTATGAGTATGTGGATGGGAAGGACAAATCCTGGGCCAACTGGATGAGGTGAGGTCAACAGGTCTCCGGGTGCCAGAGGGGACACTCATCCCCCATGAGCTCCTATATCTGTCCCTCTCATCATGCCTCCCTCAGTGGTCTCCCTCAGTCCTTTTTCCTCTTTTTTCTACATACAGTGTTCTTTCATTGCAGGGGACATTTAGAAAAAGTATAACGTTGTCCTCAAAATATAAAGTTGTCTACTAGACACAATGTGGGCACTGGAAAGGGCGTTGAAGAGCCTGGATTCACCAGGGACACTGGATTACACTTTATCAAATGAACATTAACTAAGCACTTAGTATATTCCAGTTTAGATGAAGGGATACATTACATAAACAGATCACACAACCCATGTCCTTATGGAGGACTTCTCACAGACGGACATAAAACTATTGCTTTTAGAAGCAGTTAACTATAATTTCCAAGAAGTGCACAGTGTCAAGACAGCACAAACCAAGAGTGGCCTAAACCTGTGAGAGCAGCAAACCATCCCAGCCTTGCTTCAAACTAGACCTGGGCTCTGAGGCCTGCAGAGGAATGGTTGTGGGCCCCTTTCCTGAGAGGGGCTCTCTTTTATCACGGTTAACAGAATGTGAATCAACTGCTATTGTTCTCTTTTTTTCTAACAAGACAAAAAGACATTCAGTTCTCTGTAGTCACCTTGGGCAAGCAAGTGAATGGTACCCTAAATAAAGTGTAGGGGGGTTGGAGAAAGGCCTCTCAAATGAAAACAGATGTGGGCTGAGTACTGGATAATTAGCGAGCTAATTTAGAAGCAGAGCCCTAGATCAAGCACCAGGTTCTGTGGTGTGAGACAACTTGATTTAGGCCTTGGAGAAGCCAGAGATCATTGGCTATTATGGCCAATAAGGGTGGAGGTTAAGTCTAGAACTGGGTTTTAGGCAGGATGAACACTGCAAGCAAGACTTGGAGGTAGGCATTCACATGACACGCTGGCAGACGCTCAGACACTGAACAGAAGGTTCCCCGGGAGCACTGGGGGCCGTGGGCAACACCAGAGCCTGAGGGCCTTCAGAATCAGTGAGCACCTGGACATGGACGTAACAGGTAGTGGGAACTCATCACTGTGCTTTTCTTTCCCTTCCTCTGCCTCAATCCCAGGTTTGTGAACTGTGCCCGGGATGATGAAGAGCAGAACCTGGTGGCCTTTCAATACCACGGGCAGATTTTCTACCGAACCTGCCGGGTCGTCAGGCCGGGCCGTGAGCTGCTGGTCTGGTGCGGGGATGAGTATGGCCAGGAGCTGGGCAGCAAGTGGGGCAGCAAGTGGAAGAGAGAGCTCATGGCCGGAAGAGGTGGGCACCACTGTTCTTCAAACCAGAAAGAAAAGAGAGAATTCTCCATAGAAACATTTATGATCCAACTCTTAAGTACAGTAAAATCTACTCTAAAGTCAGTAAAGTTTCAAATCACATGCTTCAGAAATTCACAATTCAGTCATATGTCTTTGACTCCTAGGCAAAATTTTTATATTTCTTATTTTTTAAATATTTCATACACAAAAAATACAACCGCATATTGTGTTGAAAGGCTGAGAGGCAAAAAAGAAAAGTTTTCAAGCACTAACAGTTCTGTCACCAAGGCAGTTTTTCTGACACTTTTCTAGCTGTTTCTTACTTTCTTTCATACTTCTAAATAAAACATTTTTTGTTTATAGGCATTCATTATTTTTAAAAGATTTTTGCCCTGGCTGATGTGGCTCAGTGGACTGAGCACGAGCCTGTGAACCAAAGGGTCACCAGTTTGATGCCCAGTTGGAGCACATGCTTGGGTATCAGGCCAGGTCCCCAGTAGGGGGCATGTGACAGGCAACCACAGACTGATGTTTCTCTTTCTCACCTTCCCTCCCTTCCCCCTTAAAAAAGATTTAAAAAATCTTCTTTAAAAAGATTTTATTTTTACAGAGAGTAGAAAGGAGGGAGAAAAGGAGATCAATGTACAAGGAAACATTACTCAGTTGTCTCTGACACAACCCCAACTGGCCCACAACCCTGCCATGTGCCCTGACTAGGAATCGAACTTGTAACCTTTCAGTTTTGAGACAACGCTGAACCTACCAAGCCACACTTCAGGCAGGGGGGCCCCAGTCATTCATCATTTCAATGAATTGTCATGTGAGATCCTACTCTTCTGTGCATAGCGTCCTGGGACCTGGAAATACAGATTAATAGGATCAGAATCACTGCTCTTGAGCTGACGGGTGAAGGAGGGAAACCCAGGCCCACATGCTTGCGTGTGCATAACACTCCACAGCAGTTAGTGCTTTAGAGAAAACTAATCCAGGACAAGTGCCTGGTGGTCTGTGAGGGGAGGCACGCTATGGCAGGAGGTCCGGGAAGAGCTCCCTCAAGGGAACGTTTACAAAAATACCTGCGGGCAGAAGATCCCAGGCAGAGGGAGCAGCTAGTGCAGGGAGGGAAGGAAAGAGGTGGGGCATGGAATTGGCTGAGGGTCACTTAGGTCTCAGCACAGAGGGTAAGAGTGGAGATCAGACAGATGCTTAGCAGCCCAGAGATGCAGTGCCAATGATCTGAGTTGAGACACGGGATTTCATGAATGAAAGTGCAGTCATCAGCTATAGAGTGGGGTGTTCTCTGTTCCAATCATGCTGTTAATTTTTAGAAAATAAACCCTAGAGATTACTTCATCTCCAAATGAGAGCACATGGTGGATTGGTCAGGGACGAGTCAGGAGTGTAAGAAGTGTGGTTGGAGAAAAATTATGAAATAGAACTCAGTATATTTGAAATGGACTAATACTGAATGAAAGTAGCATAAATATCTGGTGTGAGGCTTGAGGAAGGACTTTTTTTTTAGATTTTATTTCTTTTTAGAGGGAAACATCAATGTGTGGTTGCTTCTCATATGCCCCCTACTGGGGACCTAGCCCACAACCTAGGCACATGCCCTGACTGGGAATCAAACCTGTGACCCCTTGCTTAGCAGGCTGGCACTCAACCCACTGAGCAAGGGCAGAAAGGATGTTTTATTTTACTGTTCTGGAAACCAGAGAGAAGCAATTCCAAGTTGGGGCTGTGGTTTCCCTCTTTAACATGACTTAGAAGGGAAAGGTCATTGCAGTTCCATCCACACAGGGAGTGAAATGACCTCTGATGCTTCTCAAAAATCCCTAGTCTGGGCAGTATTAGACCCTTGATGTGGGCTTTCTGGATTTCTGAGGAAGATGCACTGCATAAAAATAAAAAGGAAAACAGACGGTGAGTGGACACTGGGATACAGGTTGCGTTGTCACCACAGTAAGAAGGACTCACGGGGCAGGTCCTACCAGGAGACTAATCATACAGCCCAGGCATTGTCAACATCTGCCCTGACCAAACCTTTCTCTTTCAGCAGAACCAAAGCCAGAGGTGCACCCATGTCCCTCCTGCTCTCTGGCCTTCTCCAGTCAGAAATTCCTCAGCCAACACGTGAAACTCAATCATCCCTCTCAGATTCTCCTGGGAACATCTGCAAGAAAACAGCTCCAAGCAGAGGAACCCTGTCCAGAGGATCAGAATCAGCAGCACCAACATACTAGTACGCACAGCTGGAATGATAAAGCTGAAGGTCAAGAGGTCAAAGAAATGTCCAAACCTTTGCTTAAAAGGATCAGTCAGGGGAGAATCTCAAGACCCTTTTCCCAACCTTCCAAAGAACAAATGAGGAGCTCTACTCAGCAGGAGACAGTGATGGAGGAGGAGCCCCATAGAGGCCAGAAAGAGAGTCCAGAGGGTGCAGGCAAGTTATTCGTGAAAGTAGGAATGTCAAGAATTATAACAATCAAGTATGGAGGGTGTTGGCAAAGCTTCAGTGATGGGTCACATCTCATCAGACACCACAGGATACACTCAGGGGAGAAGCCCTATGTTTGCAGGGAGTGTGGGCAAGGCTTTACATGGAAGTCACATCTCATCAGACACCAGAGGACACACTCTGGGGAGAAGCCCTATGTTTGCAGGGAGTGTGGGCGAGGCTTTACACGGAAATCATATCTCATCAGACACCAGAGGATACACTCTGGGGAGAAGCCCTATGTTTGCAAGGAGTGCGGGCAAGGCTTTACACAGAAGTCACATCTCATCACACACCAGAGGACACACTCTGGGGAGAAGCCCTATGTTTGCAGGGAGTGTGGGAGAGGTTTTAGACAGAAGTCAGTTCTCAGAGGACACCAGAGGACACACTCTGGAGAGAAGCCCTATGTTTGCGAGGAGTGTGGACGAGGCTTTACGTGCAAGTCAGGTCTCATCAAACACCAGAGGACACACTCAGGGGAGAAGCCCTATGTTTGCAGGGAGTGTGGGAAAGGTTTTACACAGAAGTCAGCTCTCAGAGTACACGAGAGGACACACTCGGGGGAGAAGCCCTATGTTTGCATGGAGTGTGGGAGAGGTTTTACACAGAAGTCAGCTCTCAGAGGACACCAGAGGACACACTCGGGGGAGAAGCCCTATGTTTGCAGGGAGTGTGGGAGAGGTTTTACACAGAAATCAGCTCTCAGAGGACACCAGAGGACACACTCTGGGGAGAAACCCTATGTTTGCAGGGAGTGTAGGAGAGGTTTTACACAGAAGTCAGCTCTCATCAGACATCAGAGGACACACTCAGGGGAGAAGCCCTATGTTTGCAAGGAGTGCGGGCGAGGCTTTACATACAAGTCAACTCTCAGAGGACACCAAAGTACACACTCAGGGGAGAAGCCCTATGTTTGCAGGGAGTGCGGGCGCGGCTTTACATGGAAGTCACATCTTATCATACACAAGAGGACACACTCTGGGGAGAAGCCCTATGTTTGCAGGGAATGCGGGCGAGGCTTTACATGCAGGTCACCTCTCATAAGACACCAGAGGACACACTCGGGAGAAACCCCATGTTTGCGGGTGGACTGAGTGAGTCATTAGCATTAAGTAGCATATCAACAGCCATAGGTAGTCTACGGCCCCTTACTCTCCCCAAGATTGTAATTAGTACAGAAGTAACTGATTAAACAAACCCTCCACTTTCATGACAAGATGAGATGGACAAACGGTTCCAGTGGAATGTCAACACCAATCTCCATGGTTTTTTGACGTCCTATTCCAACAACTTTTGTCTCCATTACAAATATGAAGCCCACATCCCACATTCCCCCATCACTGAAAGCAGAGAGTTTGGAAAGAGCCACGAAGAACTCAGCCACAGAAATTCAACTCCTGCAAGTGTGTAAGTCTGGAGGCAGTCTACTTTGGTTCCTGCCCAGAGAGAGGGATTTGAGGCAGACTCATCAGGGAAGGGAATTCCCTAGATTCCTGGGAAGTGGGGGCTTTTTTCTTAATAGGCTCCCTACCCTCCTCCCTTGGCTTCTCTTGGCTTTTCTAGTTTCCTACAACCTCTGGAGCCTTAGAGGTGATCTGCAGGAAGGGATATATCCTTGTGCAGAGACATGAGCTTGGTTGTGTCTGGGCACCTGTTCTTCCTCTGTCTCCTTGCTACCCCTTCAGGGTCAGCATTTCCTGGTGCACAGCATCCAGATTGCACATCAGTCCATACTTGGTGTGAGTCTCAGCTCTGTCTCCTCCAGCTGTGTGACCTAAGATAAGATTTTCGACTTCTCTCTGCCTGCTTCCTAGTCTGTGCAATGGAAATGGCAACTCCAGCCTTTTGGTTTGACTTTTGAAGTTGAGTCAGCACAGACAGAATCTGGCAAGAGGATAACTGAGATCACAAGTCCTGCTGAAGAGCCCTCTGTGCCCATGCCTTCTGGGTCTTTAGTGCTAGACAAAGGAAGATAAGGACAGGTTAGGAGTCTTTAGCCAAATTCAGAATTTGAGCAGACCCCACTGCTTTCCCCACATAGACTCAGCTGCCCTGAGAAGGAAGCCTGAGGTTGGGGAGGTGCCTCCCCCTGATCACCACCCTCTCACTGAGCCTGTGAACCCTCAGGGCCTCCTGAACATAAGCAGGTGGTGCTGAGAGTGAGCTGTGAAACAAGACCCTCACCCACCCCTTGCTGAGAACTGACACTGAAACAGCATTTGCCTGCACTGGGGTGTTAAGGTAGATGATGAGCCAAGGCAGGGAGGACGAGGAAGATGTGTCACTCACTGACTCAGCAGTCCTGATCCTGGTCCAATACCATTGTCAAATGTTCCAGCATCACAAGAAACACCATGCTAACATGTTGAAATTCTAGGTATTGTTAACACTATCTGGGAAAGAAAGGCTTTCAAACTGTATTCATCCCAAGGCCTAGAAGGTGGAAGGGGGTCTACAGCACTCAAGGTAAGGACTCATAAAACAAATTTGGCTAATTGCCTCTGTCCACTGTTTTATGACAGGGTCCCTAGTGCTTACAGAAAGAGCCCATAGGTAACTGCCTCAACTTTAACTCCTGTCATGTACCTATTTTACAAGATGGCCAAGTGGGGTCTGAATCAAGATAAGGATTCAGCTAACAACCCCACAAACACCTACATTTGGTTTGTCACATCCCCCGTGGAAGCAGGCACCACTTTTACCCATCAATCAATATGTAACCTTCACCCCCATCCCAAATGTATAACTTCTCAGGACAAAGAACTTGGTGCTTTGCCACCCAAGCTCTTGCCTTTCACCCCCGCCTCAGCAAGATTTCTCCTCTTCCATGAGAATGTATCACTAATGAACCCTGTTTGCGTGCTAATACACTTGCTGATATGCAATCCTTTACTGCATTGGCAAGAACTGAGTTTCTCCTGTGACAGGTGCACCCAATCTGCATGTGTCAATTCATGAAGCTCACAGGGCAGCAGCTACTATAATGCACTTTCCTTGTACCTGGTCCCACAGGGCTTTGTACATCGCTGACACCATCTCAAAATTACTACTTATTGTATCTTTGAACTTGTTTGTAAACTCTGATGGAATAGTAGACATGCACAATGTTGGTCATTCCTGGCCACCCGTTCCCAGATAATGTCCACAGTGGCCCAAGAGCCCAAAATTCGCATGGACCCAATGGATGGGAGTCCAGCAAGACTCAGGGTGAGAACAGGGTAAACATCGACTTCTGCATAAGCATGAAGAGGGGTGCTAACAGCTCCTAGAGGTCACACTTTTCTTAGAACCAGAGCCGAGTTCAATACAGAGATGGTCAACAATTAGTGAGGACACCATCATAAGCTCTTCTGCCTGAGGGAGACCTAAGCACGACCCACCCTGTTCCTGCTGGGATGGGTTCACCAAAGAGGGACACCCACCCCCATGACCTGGAACAATGACCTTTCTGTCCTCCCAGTGGCAGGCTTTGTAAAGAGTGTCTGCATAAACTACGTGGACTTCAATAATAAATATCCACTATTATTTTCTTTCATGCTTTTTCAAAGGGAGGTGTGAGTTTTCTTTCCCTTCCCTGTTTCTCCCCCCACCAGCACAGCCCAGAGAGAACACCATAAACTCAATATTCTGTGGCTTTGAGCATGGGCCATGGGAGAGGGACAGGGTCCTGGTGTAATGCTGGCAGCGTGGCTGGCAAATACAGTGGGAAAGGGAACCCGCAGACTGCCAGGTGAGGGTCACCACGACCCACATGAGGACAGGCCCTGGAGCTCTCCAAGAAGGCTTAGCGATTCAAGATGAGTAGACAGGTCTGTTCCCTCTCCCTCCCCTTTCAGCAGCAAACCACATTCCTAGTATAGCTGCCAGCCTCCAAGGTGTCCCCCAAATCCACATGCTGTCACCCTGACCTTGTACAGTCCCTCCTTCACACAACCGAGCTGATCTATGTTGTGAAAAGGGTGTGTGGCTCTCAAAGCTAAGTTGTAAACAGGCCCTTTTGTTTCAGCCTTGCTTGCATAGTTCACACTGTCAAAGACCACCTTGTGCAGGGAGCTGGGTGTTTACACACCCCTCCCTCCCACCTGCCAGGGGCTGGCAGCCTCCATCCTTGTTTTGAGGTGGAGGCTCCAAGGAGTGAATGTAGCCTGACATCTGCTGGGTTCTGCATCTCTTGTTCCTGACAGGCAGCTGAAGTCACTGTCCTTTCCCTGTAACACCTGGTGGGCCTCCGAGGCCACTCCAAGTGCACCTGCTGGCTTCCCAACTCCTTCAGATGACACTGTGATAGACCTGGAATGGGCAGGTGAATAGTTCTTGTGCAAAAGTGAAACCACTTACTGAGGTAACAAGACTGCATGGCTACCTGCCTTCATCACACACTTGACTCTGTGACTACAGTGGCCACTGCAGCTATGGCCAGCCCAACCTGGTTTATGATCTTATTTCTGCCACTCAGGTAAGGGAGCTGCAGGCTGGCTTGGGACCATAGCTGAGCAGGTGAGGGGGTCACAGGACAGAATGGTCAGCCACAAATACTGAACAACTAACTCACTGCCCTCCACAGCTGGGGTCAGGTGGGCCCTTATGAAATTTGCAGATTTGTCTTGACACCCAGACCCTGAGCTGTCTGTCCTTGGTCTGGCCCCAGGTCTGACCCCAGTCCTACTTGCCCCGGACAGTGTCTGACAAGCCTCTGAGAGCTGCCCTTGGGGAGGTATGTCACCCACAGATACTGTCTTCAAAGATCAGATTTTTTAAAAGTTACTTTTAAAAGCTTTTATAAAAATAGTTTTTAAAATAAGAGATAGTTAATCTCATCACTCTGAGAAAACTCCTGTAACATTTTGAAATTTGTGCTTTAATATTTTCTTTTGCAGACTCTCATACTTGATGGGAACATTATTGTTTCTTTCTGATAATATGTAGTTGTTGTTTTTTAAAAAGTGAGTTTGGGAAATACAGAAAATAAAACCACCCATGATTGCATAGTCCAATTCAGGCACACCAATTACCACCGCAAGTTAGAGCTTTCTGTGCACACACGGGGCACGCCTGCACGTATGGTACAAGGCTCCGTCTGACTTCCTCAGCAGCCTCTTTCCCTTTCAAATGCCTTGAACACCTTCCTTCAGTTTCCACAGTTACACTGCGTCCCACACCCCTGGGTCGAGGTTGCACCAACCCCCTTGTTGGACCAGAATGGTGTTTCCGGGGAGAGTCTGTACAGCACACGTCAGCCTAGTTCAGTACAGAAGTGAATGTGCAGTGTGTGCTGTGCATTCAGGGCCCAGCGTCCTGCATTTAAGGGGACAGCACACTCCACCTCCAGGCCTCACAGGATGTCAGCCTCCTCCTCTCAGCCTTCTTCTCCTGAGGAAGGTGTTTCAAAATCGTTGAGGCCATGGTGGGGGCTGGGGCACTGCTTTCTGGGGAGCAGAGGAGATACATGACACTGGCTCAGGTGGGACCACCAGCATTGTCCTCTGTGTCGTAGCCTACTTCTCTTTGGTTTTGCAGCTTTTTGCTCAGGTGATGCCTTCTAATGAGGGCCCCCAAGATGCCTCAGATGCTGCGGTTGGTTATAGAAGGTCAAGATGCAGCAAACCCAAGCCCTTCCCACAGGTCAGCGTGGCGCTGACAGCCTCTGGGCTTACTAGACAGTTAGGTTTGTGCTGTGGGGCCACGTCCACTGCTGTGTCCACTGTTGGGTCCCTCTCTCCGTGACAAGGTCCTGAGAGGGGGTGTAAGACTTCAAGGAAGCAGTTTCCAACTTGGTGGACGTGGCATGGAAGGCCCTGCAATACCTATTGTGATTGTGCTTGCTTTGGGGATCATGACCCTTTTCTGCTTTAATCATTATGAATACCCTTGCAGTGATTCAAATAGTGCGCTTAGACCTTTCCCAGCTCAATGAACAGAATAATGATATCATACTAGAAACGTCAGGGAATATAGGTACAAAGAAACAACCAGAACAATCTGAGAATTCAAGCTTAATCAATAACAGATCATTGGAAAAACACCCAAAATAAGTTAGAAAACTCTAGGAAATCAGGAGATGATCTCACTGCTTTCTTAGAGGGAATCAAAGTACAAAACATGTCTATAAAAGAACTCCTAGAGAAACTTAAAAGAAGTACCCTTGAAAGCCCCCTGCAACATAGGAATAGCCCCTCCTTTACCTTGAATAAGAATATATATCAACTAGACAGGCAAAGAAATAACAAAAGCTAGTTAGTTATTACAAACTAAACAGTTACTAGGGAGTCAGAATTTATAGTACACAGAAAAACATTTTAGGCAAAAAAAGATAGATAGCTAAGTTAGACATCACAAGGGCCTTATAATAAATTTCCTATTTACTCAATCTAGCATATCCTTTTGCCCTATGACAAATTCTGAGAAACTTTAATATACAATAAGACACTTCTACTTGTCTGATTAATAGCTCTCCTGGTTAAAATAATCTTTGTTCTTTATAACTAAATCTATGGGAACTTTCGTACTTTTATTGATTACCTTTGTATTAATTTTTTCTGCTTAAATGATCATGTTATACTGCAAATGTTAATCACTACCTAAAATGAAAATATAAAAGCCTGCTTGTACTTGCAATAAACGGAACAGAGCTTCACTGTCCTTTGAGGCGTGTTGTCATCTGTTACCCAGCGCCGACGCCTACCCTCACCTGTGGGACCCCTTGACCCGCTGCGGCCGGACCGCGGCACTGTGGTCTCTCTCCTGTTGTCCCTTTACGAAGCTCTCTCTGGGCACCAGATGGACATACTGATCTTCCCCGATGCCCACCTTGGTCTCAAGACGCAAGGAGAGACTAGGCTGTCCCTCCCATCTACTTCCCAGAGAATGACTGAGGCCAATCCCCAAAAACGTAGGTCAGAAACGACAAAGGGCAAACTCTGGTCTCACGCAGGGAGCCCCACTGAGGGGAGTGAGACCTCAATGGGATTATTCTCTGCAGGTTCTGATCCTGTGTCATCTTCAGATCAAATCAAACAAGGACGAGAAAGACCGGGTTTCCTCCAGCATCATTGGCCCAGGTGCTGACACGCCTCTTTTCTTTTTCTTTATCCTCAACCAAGGTCATTTCTGTCATTGCATTTAGAGAGAGGGGAGAGGAGAGAGAAAAACATCGATGCAATGATTGGTTGCCTCCCATACACATCCCGACCGGGGATCGAACCCTCTCAACCTTCAAGTTACAAGATGATGCTCCAACCAACTGAGCATCTGGCCATGGCTGACAAACCCTGTTTTGGTGTTTGTTATAAGGAGGGAACGTCAGTGGCTGCAGATCATGACATGCCTGGACAGGGAAAAGTGACCCACGCTGCTCTGAGTGTCTCCTCTGTGGCTTCAGGGGGGGGTCTAGAGCCAGGGGTGACGGCCTCACTTCCTAAACACCTCAGACGGCCCCTCGTCTTGTGAAGTCATTCATGACACACTTGTCAGCCCCTTTCACATTCCAGGGGCTGCACACGAAGGTTCAGAGGGTGGAGGTGGGCAGGGCTGGGTGCAGACCTGAGCGGTGTGTGTCATGGACAAGCTCTGGGCCTCACCGGTGTGAAGGTTACATGGCAGGCCAGCCTCTGAGCTCAGAGTAGACAGCAGCAGCTGAAAAATAAACAAAACCGATAATTCAATTTCAGACTTCTCTAGACTTCTGTGCTAATTTTGTTGCCATTCTCGTTGTTAGCTGTTGGGATAGCAACTCCTCTCCACCATTCCCTGCAGGCACCGCCACGATGCAAGTCACAGCAATGGACACAGCCAACAACACAGCCACAACTCACACCACGGTGCCTCAGCACAGCACGCTCACTATCAACCAGCACACAGGCATCGTCACTGTGCTCACTTCAGGGCCGGACGGATGGGGGGGGCAGGAGGGGCCACTGGGTGATGTGGTTCATGTATATTTGTCCCAGCTGGTGGGCACAGACTGGCCAATCAGAGCAGACACAGGACAATCAGAACAGACTCTTAACTAGAACACACTCCAACCAGTCAGAAGGGGCACCTGCTGCAGACTGGGTCCTGCCGGTGCCCACAGGCTGATTTTGAGCCCTGAGCAGAGTAAGCCCTAAGGAATCACCAGAGCACATCAGAAATGTCCTCCATGAGACTGCCCTGTACGTAGCAGGATGAAACGGCCTCTCGCAAAATTAGACCAAATTCTCTGCTGAAAATAGAAAACACTCTCAGCATTGCCGCCACCATAAGTGTGGAACACAAAACTAAAGGGGTCCCAGAACCCATTGTCTGGTGCTGGGGCTGGAAATACATGGATCAGATCCCAATCCAGGTAAAGTCTCCTCCGGTCGGTTCTGGGAGGGGATGGTCTGAAATCACCAAACTTTGCCTCTTTGTGGAACGGGGGGGCCAAGGCACAAGCTTAGCTGCCTGTCACCTCACAGGACCCGACCCAGAAGCTGGTCGTTTAATGGAGAGGATGGTCCTTCTAGGCGGGTGCCTCAGGGGCACCTCATCTGCTCTCTGGGTGGCGCTGGGTGGACG